CCTAAATATGAGTAAAAAAAGTTTTGTAATTCAAAATAGGACTAAAATGTTTTTTACTCGCTAAATAAGAGTAAATTTCTGCCAAATTTGTCATTACTAAGCTTTAAACATGGCTTTTTTTCAAACTTGGCAGAAATTTTCTTATATAAGAATAAAAACATGAAAGACCTATTTTGGAATTTCAAAATATTTTTACTGGACAATTTTTTCGGGTTCTTTCGTTGTTTTTATTCTCACGGAATATGTATGCTATATTGCTATAGGAAGAGTTTTGCCTAGGGATGGCAACGGGGCGGTTCGGTGACGGTTTTACATATAACCGTACCCGCCCCATTTGATAACTCCTTGCCCCATAACCGCCCCGTTACCCAACGGGTAATTTTTACCCAAACCATATCCGCCCCAACGGGTAACGGGTATAACCGCGGGTAACCGCGGGTAATCACTTTATTAAATGAGTCATTGATATTTTAATATAAAAATAATATTTTAAAAGCCGAAAAATGGCATCACCTAGATGACTCTAGACTGAGACGAACTTTCAAGTTTCGTATGTCTACAACTACAAGACGAGAAAGAAGACAACATAAATTAATTTGAACCTAAAAATACTTAATCTGAAAAATAATTGTTCACTAAAAAATCTGATAATAAACAAACAATACTATTAAGATCTATTATGAACTCTCATTGAAACATTATAGTTAGTGCATCTATTATCCATATACACAATGAAAATAGAAAAATCTCATCTTCTATTACTTATGGGACAAATAATAGATAAAAATGTAATATAAATATAACTAAAAATAAACGGGGCGGGTACAGGGCGGGTAATGGGGCGGACATGTATAAAACCGTAACCGCCCCATTACCCGTAAAAACAAAACGGATATTCCCCGCCCCATACCCGTTACCCGGTCAATGCGGTTTTCCCCGTTTTGACCGGGGCGGTTCGGTGCGGGTATCCATCGGATCGGTCACAATTGCCATCTCTAGTTTTGCCTACTTGCCTGCCGCAACCAAGGTGTCAAGGACTAGAGAATAAAAGCAGGTTACTACACGCCAATAATATATTGGAACATATATACATTCATTTTAAACACAGTAAAAAATTATAATCACCACAAAACTCCAAATAGTCTCGATCCAGCAAATATAAAATAATGCCATGAATAAAACAAAAAAAATTCACTGCAAATAATTTTAAAGAATCAATTTTACTAGGTTAGTGAAGTTTCTCTTGCTTTTATAGTACGTAGTACTGTATTTATTTACAGTATTCCAAATCGTGCAATTCATCTTTTGTACACGCCCTCACGAACATTTCTTGTTTTTTACTTCTTTTGTTCTTTTACTTCTTTTGTATTTTTTACTTCTTTGGCCTTTACTATTTCACGTGATGTTTTGTTTTATGTGATTCAAACTCTCGACCCATCAATTGCTAATACGTGTTAATTAGTTAAAAATAAATTAGTCACGAAATTAATAATAAGACAAAAGTGATACTTGCGGGTTTATTGAAAATGAATTGTGGTGGGCCCCATCCCTGAGGGCCCCCAACACCGACCGGACGGCACGATAGGAAGATGTAAATTGGACTATAATCACAATCTGACAGATAGAGAGTGGAGCTCTGTCCCCGATACTTGCAAAAGCCCTATGCATTTTTCAGCATAGTAACCTCTCATCGCAGTTCCCGGGATTCGAACCCGAGACCTAACCCTTGTGCCACTCCCTCCCTACCAGTTGAGCTACGCCCACCGGTGTGGTGGTTTTTTTTTAAATCATGGATTTTTAAAAAAAGTCAATGGACTTTTAAATTTATAGATTTTTTACGAATGAATTCTATGGACTTCTAAATCCATAGATAAGTTTATAGACTTTCGAAAGGTCCATAAACTTCTAAATCTGGACAACCATTACCGGTCGTCAAAATATTCACCTTGATCGCTGCTACCGATCTACTTGTCCGCCTCCATCACCAGAGCTCGCCACCATCGTCATCGCACTGATCCGCCACCAACAAAATGACTTTGGTTGTGCAAAGAAACTATGATCAATTAATTATATTAATTAATTAAATTAGAGGTAGAAATGTAACATTCAACTCTATTTAAGGGAAATCAAACATATGATCATACTTTGGGAAAAATGTTGTGTTTTAGTCCTATTGTGAGTAATTTTCTTTGTATAATATGATAAGAAACAATTGAATAAATAAATGAAACTAATGTAATTCATCTAGCAAAGCAGAGTTCTATAACAATAAATGAAGTATAAGAATTCAAATTTATTTTTATTAAAAAGAAAATTCAAAGTTTCGAGAATGCTCAACAATCTCGGTTTATTTATGGTCAATTGTTATATTACACAATTCAATGAGTAAGAAGTTTGATCATTACACAAGTGTTACACTCATTGCTATATCTGGTACAAGCATAGATGCAATTGAGTCTTTCTTCTCAATAATTGTTTTCTTTTCATTTTTAGCTCGTTATGTTTTGTATACTTATTTACGGTTATATATTTATTATTTTAAAATAATATTTTTATGAGTTAGTGATTTAATGATGTTAATGAGTAATGGTTAAAATATTTTTTCTTAATGGTTAACTGACGATATACCAAAATTGCACCGATGTAAGTATGATGATTTAACTGTTTTCTCTTTATTATACCAGAATTCCCTTTTATGTCAACTCTGGCTAGTCTTGGAGGAAGAATCGGATGAAGAAGAGGGCAGTTTGGGGGTAGTACGAGGACTAAACTGTTTTTCTTTATTATTAAATAAATTGTCCTAAATGGGAGTAATAACGTTTGTAAATTTCAAAATAAAAATGACATGTTTTTATTCACTCAATACGAGTAATTACTGCCTTATTTTGGCATTAGCAGATTTTAAGCATGCCCATATTTTCTAAGATTCAGAGTAATTGCTCATATTTATTGCATAAGAACATGAGAGCCATATTTTGGAATTCTAAAATGTGTGTACTTCTATTTCAGGAATTTTCTCATCTTTTCGCTACGATTTTTTTTTTGAGAACCAAATAACTTCATTACTCGTCAAAAGTTAAAGCACGAATAATACAATTGGGCGAACAACCCCACTAGATACCGTCAGACCCAGAACAGGCTTCCCTAGCTAGAGTGTGGGCAACCTGATTCGCTGATCGATGCACATACCGGACACGTATATTAGCAAACTTTGCCATCATATGTCTAATCTCTCTAAAAATAATATCATTATATTGTAGGTCATCTTCCCGAGTAATGCCCTGCACAATATGCTTGGCATCAGACTCCACTATGACATGTCTCCATCCTGACTCGAATGCCCATCTCATTGCTTCTTCAATGGCCATAGTTTCCATCAATCCCGGAGAAAAACGCCTCTCTCTCTTCATGTCTCGACCTGCTATAAAGACTCCTCCTTTGTCACGAGCTACTATACCCAAGCCTCGGCCATCACCTGCGTTTTGAACTGCAGCGTCTACATTTATTTTGATGTACCCCGGCTCTGGTCGCTTCCATTACATTTGTTGCTTTGCTTCCCTCCATCCCGATAGCGTGACATCTCCACAAGCAATGACTCCCTTCCAATTGGAACTTACTCCCTCCGTTCCCAAAAATACTTCCCACTTTCCTTTTTGGGCCGTTCCCAAAAATTCTTCCCACTTTCCATTTTTGGACAATTTGTGTGGCTCACATTCATTTTACCTTTTTCTCACACAACCACAACCACACATTTCCACTTTATTCCACTTTCTTAATAGGCGTGCCAATTCAAACCGGGAAGAATTTTTGGGAACGGAGGGAGTATATTTTTCCAAGTCTCATCATTCCTAGCCTTCCACAAGCTCCAACATATCATGGCAAACCTGCAAAAATCATCATTAGAACAGTTAATAGCCACCGTTGCAGCCCATTCTCCAAATTTGCCCTCCATCCATCACAAGAAGTTGGATCCCCTGCTGCACCAGACTTCCTTCGCTAAGCCACAATCCCGGAGGATATGCAACGAGCTCTCCTCCTGCTGCCCGCAAGCCGCACAAATCGGCCAAACCGGGACCCTCCGTTGCACAAGACGTTGCTTGAGAGGCAAACCTTCCACACAAGCCTGCCAAAGAAAAGATTTAACCTTGGGAGGTATTTTCAGTTTCCACACCTTAGCACATGCCACGTCTGGTTGAGTATTTCCGGTCAACATCCGATAACAGCTCCGAACCGAATAAATACCCCGATTTTCCAACGCCTACATTTGTGCATCATCTCTATGCTCAGGCCGTATAGGTATGCTAGCGATTAAGTCTATGTCCTCCTGATTAAATAAATCTCTCAAAATATCAAAATCTCAATCGGTCCCTTCCGCCGTCATTAGTGACCGAACATAAATGTCTTCAAGCCCTGGTACAACATGTCGAGCTGGGCGGCCTCCTTCAGGGGGAATAAGCCACTTATATTTCCAAACCCACACTTATCTACCGCTTTCGATACGGAGACACAACCCTCCTTGACAGCCAGTATAAGAGAATATTAGCATGATTAAAATATTTGGCCTTTAGTATTTTAGCAACCAAAGATCGAGTAAGGATTTTGTCTTCTTACTTTAATTTAAAATCAACAATATAAATTCAGTTTTTTATAATCCACCACTGCTTAAAGAATTATTTAAACTAAATATTTTGCAAGAATAAACGTTAAATGTTACAACAATGGGTTGGCTGGTGCCAAGTACCTTGTGGTCTGATGACATCATTGTGGCACTCCCAAGAAGGAGGTCACATGTTCGAATCTCATCGCAGTTCAAGAATGTTGTCATTAATAATGAGCAGATACTTATAGATTTAGAAAGAATTGTACAAAAAATAATGGGTTTCTGTCATTTCATTTTGAGGTTAGGAGCTCTACATCATTTTGTTCTGAATCGACAAGAAAATTGATGAAGCAGAGTATTTGGCTTATCCTCAATCGATCACGTCACATTGCTCCAATCATAATGATTAATTAACCAATCACATATGCATTATTATTCTTCATTTAATTTAAAATTACATACATATTTCATTCCTCCATTTCATACATTCACCATCCTAACAAACCAATTCGATCAATCGGTAAGGTCCAGGATGGCTAGAAAAATAACTCCATAATAAATAAAAGAAGAAAAAAAGAGGAACAAATATAATATAAATATATATATAAATATATATAAATATATATATTGTAGGTGGCTATTACCATTCATGAATCATGACCATTATGACCATATACATATAGTTAAGTTGGTTTCAAGCAATCATGAATGGGATGAACAAACAGTACTATGACTGATTGTTATTTTGGATCCAAGCGGAGAAGGCTTGAAGTGTGTTCATATCGGCTCTATAATGCTTTTGAGTAAACTCGAGAAAGGTAGGCCATGTGAAATCCGGGTATAGTCTCGGGTTATTTGAGTCCACCAGTTCCGTGGGAGGCCTCACAACTTTGTCCTTCTTTGGGCACAAAAAAAATGCAAGTGATTTCCTTGCACTTATGTTGTTCACCACTGCCCTGTGCAAGCAACTTTTGTACCTTCCATTTGATAGCGCCTACACATAAACAACAATAAGAAAAAGTTAGCATAAACCGTCTCACTCGCGTGCACGCCCACACCTCGACCCGACAAATTGGTGGAGGAGTAACAAATTACGGTATCTCAAAAGTTTTTGAATAAGGTGGTTCAGGGCACGATGTGCACAAGGGACCACCACATTGGATGAAATTCCCACAGTGCGGTTGTCGGGAATTGAGCTGAGACATCAGCTCAACTCTCGGGAATGACGGGAATTAGAGGCGAGACAATGGTTTGTTACTTAGAATAATAAAAAGGTAAGGCGTACCATGAAAGTGTCGCCGATGTTAACTACGAAGGAGTTGGGAGTGGGCGGGACGGAGCGCCACTGGTTGTCGACAAACACTTGCAGGCCACTGACGGTGTCTTGGTGGAGGATGGTGAGCGATGTCGGGTCGCAATGTGGGCCGGTCCCCAACGTCAACTCCGGTTTCTCGCACCGCGGGTAGTAGTTTAGTCTCATTATCGATTCGTTGTCTTCATAGAATTCTCTCAGGAACTTCTTGTTCACTCCTAGGCTCATTGCCAACAGTTCTAGTATCCCTTCTGAGAGCTTGTTCATTGCATTGCAATATTCTTGATATACCTTCCTGCAGGTCAACCCAAGTTCAATCAGTAATTAATCATTATGTTTATATTTTATGTTACACTGATCATAAAGTTATACACATGGCGAGAAATTGAATGCAATTTTATATAATGTGTACCCTGTATGTGAGAAGTTTTCACCCAATGCTGATTGGAAATATTCTTGGACAGTGTTTTGAGAGTTTTTCTCCGCGGAGAAGCTGAAAGAGAATGTTTCCTTCCACGGCAGCTTCGACGAGAACCGGCCCGTGAAGCTGCTCGCATAGCCACAATGCTCTCCGAGTTGCCTCTTAGCTTTTAGCTTCTCGCCGAGAGGCAACTCGAAGAAGTGGTCCATGCAGCGGTGGGCATCGGAGATGAGGTCCCCATCGACGCCGTGGTTGGAAACGAGGAAGAACCCGTGCTTCATGCACGATTCGCCAACGAGCCTAGAGGCTTCTTCGGCAGCGACAGGGTCCCCGGAGAGAAAGCCCGAAAGGTCAATGAGCGGAATGGCGAGGCGCGGGGCATCGGAGGTGGGCTTCTCCTCGTCCGGCCATATGAACTGCGCGGGGATGTTTGGTTGGTGGTGGAAGACGGGGGCGTTCAAATCCAACGGCTTAGGAAGGACGTGGCATTCTTGATTGACCATTTGGGAAGTGTTTGGTCAATCTTTTTGCCCTTTGGGTCAAAAAAGGGGGAGGCTTAAAATAACGTGCTTGATAAGAGCTTGCAAAGAGGTAATGGGTGAATGAGTGACCAAGATTGGATGGAGACTTTATACATTTAAGCAAGCTGAGCTAACCCGACAGTGGGGTGAGTTGCCCACTAGAAACCAAACTAGTCCGCATATATTACATCGGGTGAGTTGTCACTAGCATCCAAACAAACCCAAACGAAGCCAGGAACATGATATAGAATAAGCAGCTAGCTCTTCACAAAGCTTGGGCCACCATGTTCATATGAATTAGTTTTTTGGTTTAGTTTATTGTCCCACACTAAAAGCTTGTGTGAGTGGCTTTTTTGTACACATTAGTTGTGAAAAGGGTAATGGAGTGGCTCTAACATTTTGTAATAGGAGTATAGGGCCCTTCTTCTTACAAGTTTGGTAATACCAAAGTTTTAATGGAGGCCCTCATGAGTAGTGCTCGTATAGATTGGGCATACTTGGCCAAACTCTGTTTTCTTGTTGGGTTTATTTGTAAAGTAATTGTACATTTAGTGTTGATGTATTCTAGTATTTGGTTGTACTGTGCTATTTGGAATTGGAAGATAGAGTAAAAAATGTTTGGACTCGTGAGGTCAGAAGTTGGTCAATTTAGTGAGCTGTACGGTTACTTTAGTTGCCAAAGTAATTAAGCTTCATTTGGAGTGTAGTTGGCGATGTAAGTTGCTTCTTTTAAAGCTCGTTTATATGTTTGTGTTTAGAAAAAATGTACGGTGTCCAATCATGTTATTGATATTTATATTTGTGTTTGAAATAGTTTATTATAAGGTGGTCAACTTTAATGTGATACTCAAGGCTTTACGATACCATTGAAGTTTACAATATTAAAGACTTTGTAAAGTTATTAGTCATATTGTAAATGACACCGAGGGGCTGTTTACTTTTCCTATCATTAAGTCCGGTCTAGATTAAGATTTCTGTATGGATTAAGACGTCTGTCTGGATTAAGTTGCACTAGGATAACAAACTGTTTACTTTGAGTGCTGAATGTGTAGTTTGAATTAGATCAAATGACTAATTTACCCTTCTGTCTATGATAAGTGTTGAACATATATTATTTTAATTTTGCTATTCCGATTGATATTCTGAGTGCAAAAATATATACGGAGTTATAATATGAAACTACTATGAGAACATATTAAATTCACAAAATACGATGACAAACATTCAATAATACTACGGCAATTAGTCCACGCTTACATTTTTATAACTGCATCTAGAAAACATCTTGGGCAATATATTTCTACTCTACTAAATTAGCTCATTGTGTTTCATCTATTTCTTCTTCTTCACGTTCCGGACTTTTACTTGTCCTCCTATGTTGTTCGAATCTGCTAACTATAAAAAGATGCACAATGGCTCATCTCCTTATATAAAAGTATAAACAATCAAAGCACTATTATTAAAGATCCCCATCACTAGATTTATTGGAAGCTCTTTGTGTTTGCTGGAATTTGAAGTAACAAACTCGAAGGATCGTTTTTCTGATAAATGGATACAATGAGGATGTTGAGAATAGTGAAGAATCATCTCAACCTGGAAGGATTGGGATTGTGCAAATGGCTTTGAGTTGTACAGCCCTGCAGAATGGGGTTGGCCATTCTCAACAGACCAATGGAAACGACCATGTAGTGATCAATGTAAAATGAGGTAAGGGTCAGATTGGTACTCAAAGTTGCATAAAAAGGGTCAAATAAGTCCTTACTGTCCGGCCATCCCCATTTGAGGCGGTTCCCGGTAGAATTTTTTGATGAAATTTTTTGGGCATCTTTTTCATTAGGTCTAGTTTACTCATACCAAATTTTAGCTAAAACTTCAATCGGGAAGGCATTCAAATAAATTCTTGAAGATAACTACGCTTTTAACTGCGCAGTTATCTTCAAGAATTCATTTGAATGCCTTCCCGGTTGAATTTTTAGCTGAAATTTGGTATGAGTGAACTAGACGTAATGAATAAGATGCTCAAACAATTTCGTCAAAAAATTCCACCGGGAACCGCCCCAAATGACGACGGCCAGACAGAACCTCTTATATAAGGACTTATTTGACCCTTTTTATGCAACTTCGAGTACCAATTTGACACTTACCTCAATGTAAAATTGTAAATAATAGGAGTGACTTTCATACACAATTGGGCCAAATATGTATACATACAGTCAAGTTTGAGCATAAAGGAATCCAGGAACCCATATTTGCAGTAAATAATTAATTCCAATTATCTTATAACCAAACAATTCATATAGCTCCAGTTCTACCATCGGATTCTTGGGTTGCTATAAAATCTAGGTGTGATGGTTATTCTCCTAAAGGCATATCAAAATATGAACATAGAGCATGATCAACATAATCTTCATCACCCACAATAAATAATTAAATATAAACACAGACTACATGTCTACATATATATCATGAATTCTTTTTCCTAATATTAAATGTTATACCAAAATCCAAAGAACAAATCATGATATCATACATAGTCCTCGTTCACAGCCTTAAATTAACTTAAATTAAGTTAAGTTGAAGAAATTTTACCCTAAATTTTATGCCAAATATATTTTTCAGAAAATTCGAAATTGCCCAAATACAATTATTATGGGCTGTATATATCATTTATTGGGCATTATATTGATCGGTCTAATTATGTCATGTAATATTCTATTTTTGGACTACCTTTATTATCTTTCCTTTTAGACTAGTTAGTCCTTACTTATAAGAACAGATTGTATACTCGTATGAGAAGGCAGAATAATAATATTACTCTTCAGTCTATTTCACTGCTCATTAAATATCTGATCGTGAGGAGGGGTGTTAAATGACCCACACCAGAAAAGTTGAGATGAACAAAATGCTATATTAACACATGAGTTACTCCTCCTATAAGGGATGACCTTTTAGGATGGAACTCAGGTTTTAACATGGTATCAAAGCCAAATCGATCGAATGTGTGGGGGCCCTTATGAAAAATGATGACACGACTATAAAAAATGACAATTACGGCCGGATGAAAAAATGGACCAATGAAGAAAAAAATGAATGATGGCACGATCTAGACGAAATGTCTGGTCGTGAGGAGGGGTGTTAAATGTCCCACACCGGAAAAGTTTGGATGAACAAAATGCTATATTAACACATGAGCTACTCCTCCTATCAGGGTTGACCTTTTAGGACGGAACTCGGGTTTTAACAACAATGAATGTCAAAAATCAGATTAAGTATATAAATAAAGAGGGCTCTTCTCATCAGGCCGGCCTGACGGGCTGCCCCGTCCAGCCAAGCCCGTTTGGGCACCTTCCCGGTGCAATTTTTTGATGAAAGTTTTTGAGCATGTTCTTCATCAAGTCTAGTTTGTCCATACCAAATTTCAGCTCAAAATTCGATCGGGAAGGTCGCCAAATGATTTTTGCAAGTTAACTGGTCCGGAATATGTATTTTCCGGACCAGTTAACTTGCAAAAATCATTTGACGACCTTCTCGATAGAATTTTGAGCTGAAATTTGGTATGGACAAACTAGACTTGATGAGGAACATGCTCAAAAAATTTCATCAAAAAATTCCACCGGGAAGGTTCCCAAACGGGCTCGGCCGGACGGGGCAGCCCGTCAGGCCGGCCTGACATGAAGTTTCCTCTATAAATAAATATATAAATTTAGAGTAAATACCTGAATGATGAAGGCAGAGCTTTCGTCGTTCTTTCAAAACAGGTTTCTGGCGTTGGAATGTCTTCAAATGGCAAGTGATGTCGGCGATCGATGAAGAGGTGGAGAAGAAGGTTGGCGCTCAAATCGGGTGATGAAGATGGTGGAGAAGAAGGTGATGTCGGCACTGCAATCAGGTGATGAAGCCTGGTGTCGGCGATTAATGTCAAAAGCAAGCGATGAAATATCGAAGGAGAAGCCAGGGTTAAAAGAGAGACCCCGATAAATGGAGACGTCTGAACGGTAAGGACAACTAAAAATGAACTGAACGAATTAAGTCAATGTATTTTGTCCTTACTGTAGTTCAGCTCGATATGAATTCACTGTTTCTTTACAAAAATTGTAAAATATAAAGATTTTATCGAATTTTTTTATTCAATAAAAAATAATTTCCTCAAAAAAATATCAATAAAAAATAATTTTGTGTTTACAATTGTGGTTCAACCAAATAAGTTTTGGAAAAAATGTTGTCAAATTGAATTTTAAAAGTTGAAGGAAACTCCTTTTCGATGGCAGGTCAAACCGATGTTTCAGCTCATTTCTGTTCAACTGGGTTCCCTTTGTTGGTTGCTGGTCAAACCAATTCTCCCTTTCCGGTGGATGGTGAAGCCGGAATTCTTGACTTAATTTGTTTCTTTTCTAGTTTGGACATTTTGTTTTCTTTCGATTAACTTTGGAGTAGCAAGTTCAGCGGTGCTATTAGATTAGACTACATAGCAGGGTTAGCGAATTCGTTTGGACCTTGTAGGCCATCCGGTTCTATGTCTCATCCCTGTGTAGCCGTGAGCTATTGTATTGCTTTATTTCTTGTTACTTTTATTATTAATAAATAAGTTGCCTTTTTGCCAAAAAAAAAAGTTGAAGGAAAAATGGAAACTAAAGGTTTTACTTTTTAGTTGCAAGACATTACGGATGTTTTTACTTGGACTGTAATTTGCTGGTCTGGTCTGGTCTGGTAATCTCTGGTCTCTTTGTATTTTTATAACTATACAAGTTTTGTATGATCTCGTCTGATCTGGTCTGATATGATCCGGTCTAGTCTGGTCTGATTTAGGACAAATTACAGTCCAAGTAAAAACATCCTAAAGCACAAATTCCACGTATCATTTTTCTTTTTTCTCTCTAAAAGTTTTCTCCTTTTATTTTTATCGTCTTGACTCTTTTATTCGCTTTTATATCTTCTTATTCTTATTTTTGTTTCATTTTTCCTTCTTTTTCCTCTTCTCGTTTATTATTTAAATTCAATTTTTATGTACATTTCCGAATTGGTTCTCTTATAAAATCTTTTTCTCACCCCACTAAATTTGGATTTACTTTACTTTATTTTTACTTGCACTTATTTATTTCATTTTTCTTTTCTTACCTTAATTCCACCACTAATATAGTTTGGGAAAATAGCACAAATAAGAATATGTTATTTCTTCCCAATATAGGACAAATTTATACTCTTTCTCTTCCTATTTTGCCCTTACAATAACTTAATATGATGATCATATTTTACATTAAATAAAGCAAAAAATAAATATGAGTATTTTAATTTATACAAAAATCGTAAAAAAAACAAAAATACTTTAAAAAGAATAAAATAATTAAAAAATATTTACAAAAATAATATAAAATGATTAAAAATTAATATAAAAAAAAGATAACACATTAAACAATTTAAGAAAAAAAAATATGGAGACCTTTACCGTAGTCTCGGCCGCCTCCCATCCATGCCAATTCCGATTGGTAAAAAATGCCATTTTGTTTAAAAAATGTCACTTTTCTCTGAAAATACAATGAAAATGGCATTTTTAATCTTTGAAAATGCCAAAAACTTCTCAAAATTTGCCATCAAGATGGAATTAGAAAAACATGTTGGCATTGTTTATGATAGTTGGAGCTGGTGGTGTTGTGAGTTTGTTCATGCAGCAGTAGAGGCCTGCATTTTTTATGTTTTTAAATTTT